TGTTTATATAACAAACCAAAGAATGTCGTTTGCCCTAAATGTCTGTCAAGAGCTAACATTTTGATTTCTAAATTGCCCTTCATTTAGGTATAAAGGGATATTTTGTGGTATAGATCTGTGGTCTGTAAAACAGTTGAAGTTAATTACTCTTCCACATAGTCCTATTATTGTATCTATTGATATACTTCATGAATGATCTTCTTCCTTTTGATCGGAGATTATAGAAATATTCGCGGTACTTTTATTTTTGCAATTCAATTCTTATCACCATAAAAGTAGAATGTGTCTGAGGACACGAATGACCCCGCTGAAGCTTGCTTATAACATGTGAAAATACTTTTGGGACGGAAGGAAGGACGGACGGAAAGACGGATAGAAGGGTAACAATAAATGACCCCATCGCCTAGCGGCGGGGGCATAAAAATAGCGAAAATAAACTCAAGACAAATTTTCCTGTTTACAGAAGTGTATTTTTGATAACTTTCCTGATCCAGCTGGCATTTTCAGACATTCCCACCAAAAAATGTTTGAACATTAACATATATGTTAGTTGAAGATGTAAAAAGCGGAAGCGTTCGTATTTTGTATCTTTTCTTGGAGGAGATCAAAAGACACACTGACGCATCGTATTGGTCTACCAATTTATGATGGTGACCGTAAAATGTGTCGATTTCAGTCGTTCTTCCTAATAACACTGTTGGAGCAGGTTTTGTGTAAGGAGCGCTCATTTAAATGAAGTCGTATAGTGTAATCACGCACAAGCGTAACGTTTTAATGTAGATATGAAAATGCTGTATGATAGGGTTAGGGTTTAAATTTTTCAAATATTTTTGTATCGCACACCTCTAAAGAGACATTAATTGTCGAAACGTGCATCTGGTGCAGTTACTTTGATAACGTTTATGTTGTTACTTCAACTGTGTTGTAACATCTTCTGACAGATTTTTAGTCCCCAAAAGCATCACCAACCCAGTGGCTTAGTACGTCGGTACTGGCAAGAAAATACGGATATTGTTCTATTAAAGTTTACAAATTATGAAGCAAAGGAAACAGTTCTCATGCATTGGTATATATTCCTTTTCTGAGATTGTTTTCGGACTTTCACAGCTCTTCAATATAAGGGTTTTGATTTTCAAATAATTGGCCTCGAGCATCATTGATGAGACAACGATTGTCCAAATGCAAATCTGATGCAGTAATTCAGAGACAAAGAGGCTGTGAAATGTCTAACATCTCTTCATGATAAGTATGTTGTTGTTCCTGCGGACAAAGCTTCAAATAATATTGTCTTTGAATGTAAATCGTATTACTACCACTGTCTTGTAAAAGAATTCGGAATAAATGAGCACTCAGGTAATCCCACATACAAAAACATATCATTTGACAAGGATGAGATTTAGCGAATCATAAGTCCTTCATGGTTTCAATGAACAACAAATCGGAGGACTTACCTTCTTTGTATTGGATACTTAAACTAAATTCCGTACGAACAACGGTACATTGCCGGCTTATCTGCATGTTCCACTAAAGAATTGTCCATTAGATTGACTAAAATTCTGTCCGCAGTGAAAGAGGGTCTTCTGAAATATTGTAAATCTGTTTACTCGCGTAGTGGTATTAACCATATGTGGATTCTTAAAAACTCTAAAGAACTTCTGGATAATTTTAAATCTCGGTCTTTTTCTGAAATTAGTTTTATCAAAACTTTTGATTTTTCAACCTTGTATACCACCATTCCCCATGTGAAATTGAAAAACCGTCTAAAAGAAATAATCCAAAATGCTTTTCAACATAAAAATGGTAGCATACGCTAACAATTTATTACTTTGGGATACCATAAGGCATATTTTGTTAATAGTGAACAAAAGGGTAAAACATGCTACACAGAGAAACAAGTGATCAGTATGCTGGAGTTTCTAATTGACAACATATTATATCTTCTTACTTTCATATGAATCGGAGTTCCTTCAGACACCTGTCAAAAACAAGAGGATCAAAGGAGCCAGGTTGTTGAATTTCACTTTCAGATATATTGATGATGTTCTTTCCATTAACAATCCAACTTTTCTGATTGGGTTCCATTAATATATCCCCCAGAACTAGAAACAAAAGAAACAACAGACACGGCTTCCTCCGCCTCATTTTTAGACTTATACCTCGAAATCGACATACACAGTCATCTCAGTACCAGATTCTATGCCAAACGAAACGATTTTAATTTTGAAATTATCAATTTCCCCCACATCAGTAGCAATATACCAACTTCACCTGCATATGGGATAACATTATTCGGTATTCAAGAGCTTGCACCTCCTACTCAGACTTTGTAAAACGTCACCAGTGTCTGAGCAGAAAGTTGACGAACCAGGGGTATGTCAAAGAACGTCTCGTCCTTTTTCTAAACAAGTTCATCGGAAGGTACCAAGACGTTGTTGATAAATATTCCGTATCAACTTCACAAATAATACACGATGGTATAGATTCTGCGTGCTGACGTTGTTTATCATCTTAATAACGTGTTATAGTATTCTTTTATTTGTCTTTATTAATATTACTTTTACTTGTAAGTCTGTTTTTTTGTGATATTCATTTGACGTGACTCTGTACTTATGTATCCCGTCATACTTTGAACGACAAAATTATTTTATTTTATTAATATTACTTTTACTGTTAAGTCTGTTTTTGTGATATTCATTTGACGTGACTCTGTACTTAAGTATCCCGTCATACTTTGAACGACAAAATCATTTTATATCTTCCTGTGTGACGTCAAACGCGCAATTCAACGCCAGTACTTAAAACCTTCCATCCTTTATGGGTGAATTTACATAGATAAATAAAATCGTATAATAAAAAAGAAAAATGAGGATGTTAAATTTGATGTATGCCTTTTTGTGCTTTTTTGTTACATTTGTTTGTTTAATAGTGATTAAGATGATAATAAAATGTTGACTGCTGTACCCCTATTTTTGACATTTTTATCTAATGTGTCTGTTTGTTTTGTTCACGCATCGTTGTCAATATAATGGAATTTGATGCGACTGTCATACAAGTGAGAGGTTTAGCGAGCTATAAAACAAGGTTCAATCCACCATTTTCTACACAAGAAAATGCCTGTACCAAGTCAGGAATATGACAGTTGTTATCAATTGGTTTGATTGGTTTGAGCTTTTGATTTTGTCATTTGATTAGGGAATTTCCTTTTTGAATTTTCCTCGGAGTTCAGTATTTTTGTGATTATACTTGAGGCAGAGGAAGCCGTGTCTGTTGTTTCTTTAATTTCTAGTTCTAGTGGATATATTAATCAGAAAAGTTTGGATTGTTAAAAGAAGGAATATCATCAATATATCTGAATGTGATATTAAATGATCTGGCTTCTGCAATCTTATTGTTTTTGACAAGTGTCTGCAGGAACTCCGACTCATATGAAAATAAGAAGAGGTCGACAGTTCGTTCCCATAGGAATGCCGACAATTTATTGAAATAGTCTACCTCCAAATTCAACAAATATGTTGTCAATAAGAAACTCCAGCATACTGATCACTCGTTCTTCTGTAAAGCATGTTTTACCTTTCTGTTCACTATCAACAAAATATGCCGTATGGTATCCTAAAGTAATAAATGTATAACGTATGCTACCATTTTTATGTTGAAAAGCATTGTGGATTATTTCTTTTAGACGATTTGTCAATTTCACATGGTGGTATTTAGGGTTGAAAAATCAAAAGTTTTGATAGAACTAATTTCAGAGAAAGATTGAGAATTAAATTATCCAGAAGTACTTTAGAGTTTTTTAGAATCCACATATGGTTAATACCACTACGCGAGTAAACAGTTTCACTGTATTTAAGAAGCCCCTATTTCACTGCGGACATAATTTTTGTCAATCTAATGGACAGTTCTTTCGTCGAACATGACACCCATTCTGACAAAGTGTCCAGTTCAACTTCTTCTCGTTTAGTCCATGCTCTGGTGTAGTTCTCAATGGAATCCATAATTATTTTGAATTTATAGTTCCAATTGATGTGTTGGGGTTCTCTAAATTTAGGACCATGAGATATCACCATTCGGAGATGTTCATGTGTTGCAAAGGATTTCGATAAGCATCAGAAAATGTTTCAATAGCAGATTTATGTGGCTAGGTAAACTAAGTCATCGCTGTTGTATTTCATTGTTTACAGAACCAACGTTTAGAATAGCAAAATATTGAAATTCTTCATTCCTTCAATAATCATGCTAGTTGTATATGCAATTAAATGTAATCTTTTCTTGACTTTTTAGTGCTTAAATGTTAATTGCAATGTCATAACAGTCACATTTGTACCTAAAATGACAATATGTACTCTATATTATGAGAAAATCAAATATAGGCCAATGCCATAAATACAAAGGTATTTCATCTACACCAACTTGCTTGTTTGCGACTTCTATAAGCATAATATACAAAATCTCAAAATAAGGCTTTTTTATACAGTTTTTAATTAAATTCAAGAAGTCCGACGCTCAATAGCAAATATGTACAAGAAGCAACAATTATGAAAAAAAATATATCATATATAACAAACTTATACCGTATGAACCAGACCTGTGGTTAATTGAAATGAAATCTTAATTTCCTGTCATTATTCACAAGTAAAATAGAAATTAAAAATTAAGTGTAATTGGTCATATTTCAATCACAAGGAATTAAAAGTAATGAGTTATAAGCTATATTTTCGTGTAATTGTGCTTTGCTTTTTTATGACTTTCAAATAAATTGGAGTATTTGCTTTGAAGTTTAATGCATGACTTGCTTCTCTTATGTACTTACATAATTATACAAACTGTAATTTCCTTGTTTCATTCAGAATTTACTTCATACTTTGATTTCTTTTATATTTTAATTGGACATAATTATTGTTTAAGGCAATTAAAACATAATTTGGCTAAATATTACAAAGTTTAATAATATGTTTGATAGTCTTTCTTTTTTCGTTTTCTTTACATTAAAAAAAACAAGATTATAAACATACTAATTTATTGCAAAAATATTATAATACTAGTTGGATCACATATCATGATATAATAAGGTCTTCAGCACAAACATTATTGACATGCAGATGCAAAATAATTAATAACATTTCAAAATTGTAAAATAAGTATGTAATTGAAATGTAATCAACTGCTTTTTCATGTAATTGACCCCAGGTCTGTTGTGAACAGCTGAATGTGCTGTCATAAGACAAAATTAGAAATACTAAGACAAACATGATAAAATAAGATATATATATGTATAATACTTCTTTCATTTTTGTAATCAAGAACCCGAGAACGTAGCCTTATTAAACCTTCTCCTTTGTCATATAGTATGTTTGACAATAAAAAAAAACAATAAAAATTAAATGCATAAAATTTTTCACATTAATTGTTCCTTTGCTATTTGTCCTCTATATAACAATTTCTATGGTAGTTAAATTTTGATCACGATTCACTTGCATTTCCTTGATTCATTCTCCTGTGCTCGTTGAATCATCTGGAAAAATAAGAATTATTGAAACAAAAAGACGCAGGAGAAATCTCAAAATGATATTGGATTATTAAGGCTATTTTCAATAGTCGAATTGCAATCATACAAAGTCAGTGATAGGTATAATATACTGAGGGCTTTATTTGAGCATTTGGATTCCGTTTGAAGTATGATGCAACTTTTTGTTAATAAAGTACTTTATTGTGATTTTTGTTCTTTTTTAAAATCATGTTATGGCTTCTCTTACCAAAAGAGACGATGCATAAGATAGAAAATAAATATAAAGAGTATAGAATCGTTTTTTTTTCTCAAAAAATAAAGGAATAATCTATTTTAAATTGTGAGAAATAATTATAAACCAATGTCATACAACACATTGCCAATCTATCATAAATTCAGAGAACATAAAACATTAGTTTTGTAAATGGATTTCATGTCCTAATCCTGAATACAATTCACGTTGAACAAAAATGGATCACTTTCAGCACCGCAATATACGAAACCCTCTTTAAACGATGACTTTGAGATTTTTACATGACACTAGTAGACATGCCTATTGTTAATACTGTAAGCTTACTCATTTTCGCGGATTCTTTTGTCACACCAAGCTCTTTTAAGCAGACGTCGCGACAATTTAATTTCGCGATTTTCAATTAACTTGATGTCGTTAAGAAAAGATGCAAGTTTTACATATTCGAAACGATTTATATACGTGTTTTAACTCTGGGTTGGTTTACAGTATATACTTATATTCATGTAAAGATATGAATGTTTAAAATCACTTACGTGTTACACGAAGAACCAATGACTGTGAAATTTCGTTGAAATTTGTTCCAGGCTGGCTTACAACACATGTACATCGCTTGCCTTCATGAGCTGCAGTTGGAATAAATGACATTAGTGCTAAGACGGCGTCTGGTGATCTTATTGAAAAAAAATTTTGCAATTCGCCATCACAAAACCATTTTGCATCTGGTTTTGGATTACCACCTGCAACCCGGCAAATGAGATAAGATCGGAGTCCAGCCAAAAGGTCAGTGGAAGACACTGTCATCTCATTAACTGAATCTGTAGTACAGAAAAAAATAAGATGTGTAAACTTAATGCATTATCAAAAGATATTTCCACGAAACAGTGGAAAGACCTAATTATAAAAATATGTTCATCGGAGCTCTGGACAAACTTGCTACTACTTGTAACTACTTCTTTTTCAAGTTTCTGAGAAGCTTTGATATACAATATAAAATAGAGAAGTTACGAATGTCCTGTTGATATAAATAAAAAGAAATGAAAGACTCATTGGTGATTTTCTAAAATATCTGTGTTGATGCAGGTACAATGCATATAAATGGGACACCAAAAGTTCATGTTCATTTCTAATGATATCCAAATAATAGTGTATGCATATAAACTAATAAAACAATGATGTTAACGGATAGTCTCGACTAGCAACTCATAGGTCGTGAAGAGACGATTAGGCATACACAACCTCTCGTTTCTTCAAAGAACACGACACTTGTATGCTCATAGTACACATTAAGTAGTTTTTAATGCGCTTTTAAAGGTATGACCGAGGAGCTTTTATATATCATTATTGGTTTTGGTTTTTCTGGATCGCACTTTACCCATTACGCATAGTTCGCAGCTGCATCCATCATAAACCTGACTTTTTTCAAGTTGATGGACTGAGGAACCTGACATTTCGACCCTTTGTTTAAGAACACTCTCAATGTTACCTTGTTTATTTTTAATGTATCCTTGTCCTGAATTTGTAAGAATATTTTCTGCTAAACGTAGAGCAAACACCAACTAATCGATTACAATTCTCTGGTGACAAAGATGTATTTGAACATGAGCGTTATAAGTAAATTTCTATATGATATCATTTTATCTTTTTATAAATCTTTTGCATGCTTGAAATATTGGCATCAGATGCTAAATTATAATTGCAACCGTACTGTATTAGTGAATAGCAATTTCGATTTCATTAACATTTGTATTGACTCCAAATACTTGTTTTAAACAGATTCAAAGGCAAGTCTCTATATCAGGGAGCGTTAAACATTATGAGGGGCACTGTACAACTTAAGACGGAGAATAAATCCTAAAGTGTTATATTTACCTTATATTTCAAAATGTGATTTGGTTTGATTGCCAATGAGAAACCTATCCATCAAGGTTCAAATGACTTGGATATAAGCAATTATAGGTCATTATAAAAACTGTATATGTAAAAAAAATAATAAGTTACTCACATAACACATGCAACACTGATGTTTTGGAAATTTCTTCAAATGTTGTGTTATTTTGCTTCCCGATGCAGGTACACGTTTTATTATGGTAATCGGCAGTTGGCGTCATATACAAGATTGAAGTAGATGAATTATGTGTGATAATCGATGTAACATTATCATATGGTATTCCACTACATGTCCACCAAATATCTGGCAAAGGATTTCCGTCAGAAGCCTCACATGTCAAAATGTCTGGTTGATGTTCAATCAGAATTGGCACTGTTACATTTAAATCAACTCTTACTGGATCTGAAATTAAAAAAAGTCGTATTTCTATAAAACTTGTGTGTTATAACCTTCTTTATGTCGAGGCGTTTGTAGAAATATAAAAAATAGGCTAGCGTTTTACTTTGAATACTAGTACTTATAATTGGTTTTCTTCAAGATTTCTGTGTATATCGACTAATTTTATTGTAAACACACAAAAGAAAATCACTGTCGCCCTGTAATGTAATTTTTATTTGTTCTGTTGTGTAATATATTACATAGCAGAAGGGTTACTCATCTCGATACGCCTGCATACGGAGTATATATCTCCCAATTGATACGATATTCCCGGGCTTGTGTTTCCTATCATGATTTCCTTGATAGATGATTGCTGCTCACAAGGAAGCTATTTAACCAAGAGTTCCAAATTGTGAAAGTAAAATCATCCCTTCGTAAATTTTACGGACGCCATCACTAGTTGGTTGGCCGTTATGGAATAACCGTTTCACAGATGATATCGGATATGTTCCTTATGTCGTAACTACAATACCCTTTCCTTTTCACGAATGTGACCTACCGAATTACACTATTTACCGGATTTGTAATAACATAAGCAACACGACGGGTGCCACATGTGAAGCAGGATCTGCTTACCCTTCCGGAGCACCTGAGATCACCCCCAGTATTTGGTGGGGTTCGTGTTGCTTAGTCTTTAGTTTTCTATGTTGTGTCATCTGTACTATTATTTGTCTGTTTGTCTTTTTATTTTTGGCCATGGCGTTGTCAGTTTGTTTTCGATCTATGAGTTTGACTTTACCTCTGTAATCTTTCGTCTCTCTCGATAGAATTCATTGCAGTTAATGTTAATCTTAACTTGTTTCAAATGAGAATGAAAAAATCAAAACATTACAGGAAAATATTGTAAGATGAAATGATTGTACTGTTAATTACTTTTAATGATTTGTATTTGTCTTCTACAACTTTTAAAATGTTTAACATTTAGAACACATGTGTTGCTGAGTTGGCACTATCCTACTAGATATATCTGATTCATTGGAAACACAACTGCTTTTACAATAGATAGATAAGATTTATGAATGGCAAAATTTTGGTAGGTAACCTAGTTTAGGATAGGAATCCCTGGGTTGCATTTATTAGTCTGATAAGGAGCAACGTGTTTTAGATAAGAATCTTTAAGGTTCAAATAACTTTCAATATGTTTTCTCTTACATTTTAGCATCTTTATAATTATCGTAATATATAGACAAAAAAATATGTAGTAGATAATTTAAATTTAGGTATCCTATCAGTAAAAGAAAGATAAATAGGTTTAATACATATTGATTCTGTTAACTTTTTGTTAGTATATTCAAAACTGTTAGGCATAATGTAGTACCAATATAAAGGCAATCGTTGGTTATAATAAAAAAAATTATTGATTTCAAAGAGGAGTAATGGTTGAACTTTAGCTTTTGAATGTATAAATATGTTAATTTTCCTATATCTTAATGTTTACACATGCGGAAATAGCCGTGATTGCATACGCGTTGGTGACGAAGGATACAACGGATAATTGCTATTGACCTTGCAGCCGGAATAAAAATGTTTGTTTATGTTTAAGCTCGAGACATATATTGTTTTAATTAGACGGATTATAATTTATATCATTTTTTCACCAGTTGTTATGTTAAACTTTATCAAATATAGTTATTTATATATATATTTACAGTACCTTGTTTTAGTTTTATTTAGTTTAAGTATCTGATGGTTAGTTATCTCATTGGCAATCATAACACATCTCTTAATTTTATATTCTTATAAGAGTTATTGCTCTTAAACAATCATTTGTTAACCAATTGTAGTGGGTAAACCTTTTATCAAAGAATCAATACTACGCATGAAAAATACATATAGAGAGAACTACATAAACTGGAAACAGTAAAAGTGATCATCCGGTCAAGATAACACAAAATGTCGTAATGACTAAAATTAACTAATGATTATTTTTTTGAGTTATATATTGCTATTTTACAACTATGCTATAAATGATGGCTTATTAGCAAACAATTTCAAGCAATTTATTTTTACTTTAAGGAATTTGTATTAAGTCCTTGAAGAATTTATTCATAATAAATTGAATCGTAAAATCTTTAAAATATATTTTGTTAATTAACCATGTACGCAACCATGTAAATACTTTTCATGATTTAAATGATAAAAAATAGACAAGAAATTAACTTTAGTATGTGTACAAGATAGAGATACTAAAATGTACTATTACAGTGTGTACAAGTTGATCACACATACAAAATTTCGTGACATAATTCATAGACACCTGTCTATGGATTTAGGTCTTATTTTGACCTCAACGTGTCATTTGGTTTTTTGTGTGTTTGGTTACATTAACCCTACATCTCTGTTTATTCATATCATATATTTATGAGAAAAATGTCAGCCTAAGAAAACTAATCGACGCCCCTGTGTATAAACAACCTATTTTTTTAATATATAACATGTATAAAGCATCTTTTCCATCTGATATTTAAATGTATGAGTCATCTGAAAACTTACAATACACTACAAGGTTTTCTGCTTTTTGAATTTCGGGAAACGTCGTCTCATTATGATGAACAAAACATGTACATGTTTCTGCATTACACTCCCTTGAAGGCATAAATTCTAAAACTGACATGACCTGATTCTCAGACAATATCACATTTGTAGCGTTGTCATTATTACAACAGTTCCACCAAATATCAGGCACTGGACTACCGCCGGTGGCAGAGCATGTTATGTTCGCAGGTTCATTAACTATCATAGGAGATGGTACTTCTAACTTCACTGAAGAAGGTGTTGGATCTAGGGATATATAAAGTAGTTTTACAATTGATTTTTATACAGCATCTACATAAACAAATGCATGCAAATGTCATAAGCAACCTTCCCTATTAACAAAATTCTGAAACCATATGATGGTTTTCAATTCGATAAAATAACAAAAAGAAATTTATCAAAAATAAGACATGTAAATAATGAAAATTAAATGGGAGAATTCTTTTTGTCATATCACATATATCATTATATTTACAATTTTGGATTTTTTTTTCTTTAAATATATAAGCATCTATGTAGAAAATGTAAATACAACAAAACCGTTTAGAATTGCAAGAAAAGATGCATCAAAATTGAAAACAAATGAATAATAATGTTGTTAAGACCAGTAAGGGACAAATGAAGTTTGAATTAAAACTAAGTGTTGGCATCATAGTTACAATAAATTCAATTGCTTAAGACTAGATAACTTTCCTTTAGTTTTCATTCGGCACAATTCTGTACCAGAGTATACCTGAGGTTAGACAAATTAACGCCCTAGCTGTATAGATCAAAATATGTTACAATTTTGGATTGTTTTCTTTAAATATATAAGCATGTAAGTAGAAAATGTAAATGCAACAAACCCATTTAGAATTGCAAGAAAAGATGCATTAAAATTGAAAACAAATGAATAATAATATAGTTAAGACCAATTAGGGACAAATGAAGTATGAATTAAAACTAAGTGTTGGCATCACAGTTACAATAAATTCAATTGCTTAAGACTAGAGAAATTTCTATTATTTTTCATTCGGCACAATTCTGAACCAGAGTATACCTGAGGTTATAGATGGTTGATGCTTACAAGGAAGCTACTAAACCAAGAGTTCTAAGTTGTGAAGTTAAAATTATCCCTTCGACAATTTTACGGACGTCATCACGAGTTTGGGTTGGCCGTTATGAAATATTTGCTTCACAACTGACAACGGTAATGTTACAATTGTCGTAACCACAACCCGTCCTCTTTACTACGAATGCGACCTACCAAATTAGACTTCTCACCGGTTATGTACTTACATGAGCAACACAACTGGTGCCACAGGTGGAGCATGATCTACTTACCCTTCCGGAGTACCTAAGATCACCCCCCCCCCCCCCCCCCCCCGGTTTTCAAATCTGTTTCGTGTTACTCGGTCTTTAGTTTTTTATGTTGGGTTTTGTATACTGTTTGTCTATTGGTCGTTTTTCATTTTCAGCAATGGCATTGTCAGTTTGTTTTCGTCTTATGATTTGTAATATACATTTGGTATCTTTCGCATCTTTTACGGTTCAAAAATTTCCTAGAATTATTTTTACGATATGGAAATACACATTACTTGGGTGCTATATTTATGTTGCAAAACACTGTTACATGGTGGCTTATTTTTACTGAGGACTATAATGAGTTTACAAAATACGTATTTTTAACGCACCGACATTAATTTTTATGTCTATTCTGTCATTGCATGCTTTCCTGGATCAGACATATATAGAAAATTAAAAACAGTTTCTTGAGTAACATTCCTTGACGTCTCTTGCAGTATTGCGATCATTTAGTGCAGCCACTGGTGCTGGTCCGGGTCAAAGTATAGAAACACCCTACTGTGTTGAATTGCAGTCATTGCATAATGTACAAGTAGAAATTTATATTCTGTACTATACATTTTCTATTATTGTAAAGATGTATGTATCAGGTAGTTTGTCTACATTTTCTATATGTCATAAGCGAGTTGAGTCCATGAATGGAATAATCGAATGTTTGATGTGATTAAATTATTGGTTCTAGGTAGTCATCAATACATTGTTGGATAAAGTGACTGATTGTTGATGTTTAATGCAACTTTCAGCACTATTAACTATATCGTGGCGATCATTCTTTATTGGTTGAGGAAGCCAGACGCAGAAATACTGACAATCATAGTCAATTACGAGTGTAAGAATGGAGTCGAACGCACCTGCCAAGTGCGGGTTTTAAACTCGCAACCTCAGTTTGACAGGCTAGTGATAAAGTTGATGAACTAATTTGACCTCGAAAAAAACATGTCAATATATGAAAATATATACTATACCACAGACGATAGCTGCTTTAGAGTCACTTGGACATCTTACAGAGAAGCGAGGACAGTGTACAAGCTTTGTTTCATTACCAGTACAGTGGAAAGTTTCTTGGTATATGTCATCTGATGATGTATTGTATGTATGCCTTGATACTACTATAACATGTCTTCAAGAGATAAAAGTACATGGTATGAACTAGAAATAGGACTGTCACTCGGCTTCTTTCGACAAGCAATAAACGTAGGTAGTAATTTCAATTTCGAAGAAATTCGATTTGATATTAATTTTCGATATAAATTAAATATTTAAAATGTTTAAGTTACACGTCCCCGAAAAATTGCGATACTATAAACAACTTTCATATATTTGGGAAGTTTAGCTAGCTATAAAACCTGGTTTAATCCACCATTTTTTTCGGTAAAATTGAGAATATTATAATAAGTTATTTTCCAATCATTCCATTGGTTGATGAAGTGTAACGTTTGATTTTGTCCGTGTGTATGGACTACCCCTTTTTGAATTTACCTTGGAGTTTGGTTTTTTTGTTTTACTTTTTATCGTAAAATACGCTTTAAAAGTCACTGACAGGACATGATGAAAATCAATTCAAAGACAAAGTGCTCTCCTTACCTGTATGAGAATTGGGCAATTGTTCCCTTGCCTATCCCTTGTCCGAAGCTTATTGAATTGAACACAATAATGTTTTACCTAAAAGGTTTGGAATAAAGCAATAGCAAATCCACAGGCAATTCCATAATGCAGTTAATCCGCTTTGCTTTAATTATATTTAAAAAAAATGATAATGGTAAAAACCGAATAGTGAGGTCTTGTGTAAAATTGATCTGGGATTTTTAACATATATTGTAACAGTTATATTTTACACCATTTTTGTGTATAAGGAGAATACAAGTTTTGTTCCTGTTTAAGATTTCAAGCAATATACAAATGATATAATAGCTAATTAATAAATAACTGAAATGACTTACCGGTAATTACTGTTTAATTCCCGACAAAAGACGATTGCATCTTTTTTGTCGAATCCCAAGCTGCATATATTGATTCTTTGCTTCCACAACATAATCTGAGCGATTCCTTCATTAGGCTTATTTCCACCTTCAAGTGTTAGAGCCATCTCATCTGGTGAGCCTTTAATAGATTAACAGTTAGAAATATAAAAAGAATTGATTAACGTATATTCGTCAATTAAACACAACGAAGCGACACAGAAAAACAAGACATAAAGAGGTCAACAACAATAATAATTGTGTAGCTTAACCCCCCCCCCTTTCCCCAAACAAAGGTTTGTGAAGGCATATACAAGAGACTTTTAAATATCCAAGACTGCTAATACAATAATCTACGACTCTGGCATTATGACAAGTAAATCTCCCAATATTGTGATCCCTTCCAATTTCTTCCATTAAATATGAAAACGCCGTTAACTATGCAAAAATTTAACAGCATATTTCCATATCTAATTCTATCTTTATCCATACTAACACGGTTTATTAGGATGGACAGAATCGAATTTTACTAGGAAAAAAAGCACATTAGGAACAACTGAGGAAACAGAGAGGCGAAAGATACTAAAGGGACATTCAAACTCATAAGTCGAAAATAAATTGACATCGTCATGGCTAAAAAAGAAAAATACCAACAGAAGTCACAGGAACATACGCATGTAGCAGGATTACACAATTTGTTAGACCTCTAATCCCCTCTTTAATATATGGATTGATAGACTGTTGCTTGTCTAACGTCTAGTGACGAATATTACATACATATCCAGGTTCAGACAAAACCAGCAATCAAGCAGCCAGCAGATTTATTATAAAATGGTCACTTCATTATGGTAGCGTCCGTAAAACTTACAAAGATATATCTTTAACTTATCCATTTATAATCTTTTGTTTAATAGATGCTTAGTTCAAAATCATCCTCTATCGTGGAATCTACGATGGGATGGGCAAGACGTACAATAGCGTAAGAATTGTGTAAAACTTACCCCTATCACGTGTATCATCTGTATAGAATGTTGCGTTATAGAAATTGGAATCTCAGTATTAGAAAATTTGAATCATCTATATCTCTCGTTAGCCGATTTGTCAACCGGCCGTCGCATAGTTTACGCTTTTTTTTAAAGTTTAGATATAAAGTAAACCTGACTGCTTATGGGGAAACTTTAATTTCAAGTTCATTGGAATGGATGCATTCACAACAGTTACCAAATTTTGACTGAACAAACAATGCTGAAACTAAGTTAAGAAATAATACTAGCTTTTTTTTCATTATTTCTGAATAGCCTATGTATAAATTCAACGAGACAAGCATAGTTGAATCCAATAAGAAAGCCTGCTGTCTGTTGAAAAACAAGCTCTCCAAACGTATCAAATATAGTTTGTACAAGAAAGTGAATCTTTTTTAATTGCATCAGAGCGATTGTTCTTGCTGTGATAGATTTACTGCATATCGCCATCTTTGATTGTAAAATAGCTGTACACAATCGGTTTAGTAATAAAGAAAAATAACTGATTTATTGCATTATTCAGACCGTTTTAACAAATACCAAATATTTGTTTGTGTTCGATTCAATTTTTCAACTTAGCTATATAAGGGGACGGGGGGGGGGGGGGGGGGGGGGGGGGGGGGGGTAACTCTTTTAGCTTTTAGTAAATTTTTTATAAGGGAATAATAATTCAATTTTAATTATTTTACTTGAAGCAAGAAAAAAGGTTCGGTGACACTATTTTTATTTTTTCTTCAATGGATATAAGAAGATGTGGTATGAGTGCCAATGAGACAATCTCCATCCAAGTCAAAATTTATAAAAGTAAACCATTATAGGTCAAAGTACGGTCTTCAACACGGAGCCTTGGCTCACACCGAACAGCTGAAGCATATATAAATCCTATCTTCTCATTTTTTATTTAAAAATTCTATCTCATAGATTTCCTTTTATTTACAAAAAAGTGTTTTTCATGGAAAATCTATGCAAAATAAGGCAATTTTGCATGCCTTGTAGCTTTAAAAAAAACACGGTGACCCTTACTTTTTATCATTTCTTAAAAAAAGCATGGTAAAATGTCAAAGTATAAGAAAATTCTTTATGAGGTAAGATATACTGATGATCCGCCTTAGACAAAGTTTTATTTTTCCTTCCTAAAACAATATAATTAGCAATATAACAGCGTTCGTACAAACATGTATGTAATATAGGTAGCCAGATGCTAGTGCTTTGGTTGATATTCAAAGACACATATCCGATGGTATTTTCTTAAGTTTCGTTTGAGTATATGGTAGGTTTTCATATGCATTGTCAATACATAATTTCAGTAACAATTAGTTTAATCATGAAGCATATTGTCTTCAAGAAAAAAGAATATTGTTACGCTCTTTTTCAGTGGCATAAACATATCTCTTATAGATGTAGGACAAGTATTTTGCAACATTTGGATCTTTGAAAATAATTGTAGCACGAGTGTTTATTAGTTCGTTTTTTTAATATTCTGTTCTATAATATTGTCCACAATTCTTTATCAATTCGATTTTTTGGAGGTACTTGATGAGAATGAGATGCACCGGTAAAAAAAATATATATAGAAATATGCTGTTAAATTTTTGCAAAGGTAACGGCGTTCTCATATTTAATGGCACAATGTGGAGAGGGATCACAATATTGGGAGATTTTCTTGTCGTAATGCTAAAGTCGTAGATAATTATCAGCAGTCTTTGACTTTTGTAATCGTTTAAGGAATTTGAAGTTTTAGATTCATATAAATTAAAAACAGATGTTCATAACCCACTCATCTTTACTTTTTGTTGTAATAAAAACTTGGTAATTGACCATGCAGAAAATGTTGATTGTTACATTAGCAATAATAGTTATGGCTGTTGGTATCTCTGTAACGATATAATGCATTGGCTTTACGAAAATAAATATATATAATAAAGGTGAGAGGTTTGTTTTGTCCATTGTCTGTTATGGCATAATCAATAATGATTAGATTTCGCAATTACTTACTATAATTTGTTTTTAAAAAAAATCATTAAATAAAAACAACCCAGTTCAACTTTGTTTCTCGTTTGTCGTTTATGGCTCAAAATTCAAAAAATGGTTCATGTCTTCTTAAAGTTAAACCGTGTTTTAGATCTACAAATGATTGAATGTGAAACTAACCTGAATTATAAACAATTTATCTCTTAAGCAATTTTAAATATTTGATTTTATGAATGCTATAAATTAAAAGGAAAACGTGTTTAGCTTTTTAGGAATCACGTGAAACAAAAATAAACGCTCATAAAAGCTGCAAAACCATATTTTATGGATTGTGATTGTCAAAGTACGACCGTGGATGTAAATGAAGATACTAGATTATTCAAGACAATCTGTTGCATGTATTTCTTCTCAGAATTTGTGTAAATTTATAACAAATGCATGTGCTTACATTGAATACCAACATCTTCTCTATGCGTGGTGTCACAGTTGTAAGTATTCCAGGACGTGTGTCTGCATTTTAATATACTTGACTCTCGTCCGGTACAGACAATGTCGTCTAGTAGGTAGTTTGAACCACTCCAATCTTTAAACTCGTAGGAAAAACGTCCATTCCTGAAGTGTTGCAATGACAAGGATTAAGAGTTTAAAGTTCTTGGCCAGTAAGGTCCAATTAAACGGGTTATTTTTTTTTCTCGTTAATGGCATGACTTGATATATGATTTGTATTTGTCGTAGGCAATGCAACGTTGCCGCTAGAGAGCATAACTGCTTATCCATTTGCACACCTAACCTAAGTCGGGTTATTGCTGCTAAATCGTTAGATTTTGGATTATTTCACTTTTTGGAATAATTATGATATTTCCGAATCTCAAACCTACTTTTAAGTCCATAATCTGAAAAAATAACATAATTGGTGCAAGAACAACGTACTATAATAATCCGTATTGATAAAGATTCGTGTATAAAAAAAAACAAGAACAACCAATACTGTGTTTAAAAAATGACCAAAAGTAATTAAAAGCTCAAAGAAGTCATCTTGGTAATATAAAATCATCAGATCAACTTCATCAAAAGACATAATTTTATGATATTTTAATGGTTCTTATGAGAATATAGAACCTTACTAACCAAGATAGTTCTAAATATCTGCAAACTATAGATGCCTCATTATCTCCAAATCCGTCATCACAAACAGTTCCCCATTGTCCGCCATGATAAAGTTCTAATCGTCCACTATAAGATGTATTACCGTGTGACAGTCTCTGGCCAAAGCCTGAAAGGTACAACATATGAAAAGGACAAGAATCTTTAAGTATGAAACGAATTTTTCTTAAAGTTATTTCATTATACTGTACAAAATCAGAAGAACTGTGAGCTTTTGCTCACTATAAGTATCCTCGCTTTTAGTTTTTGGTATTCAGTTGAAAAGAAAAGAATCTAATAAACACGGTAATGCATGCTTATATGATGCCTGGTAACATATTTAAATAAGCTCTTATTTATAGTTCCAGAGAACAATTTGACGACTTTACATAAATGGCCATAATGTTTGAATATATAAACATTCAGTAAATAGGATGTTGATGAGCGATGAATCTGAAAACGTGTCACACGGTATAGCATGAATTGATTCCCTGTAATTTTCAGGAAGTATTTGTTAAACACTACGTTGATGAACAATTAATCTGATACCGCATCGCACTGTACAGCATGCTGACTTAAAGTCAACAAATTTCAGGAAGCTTTGATTTAATGTTTCTGAGAAAAATGCTACCGAAATATCATGGGACGGTCGGACATACGGACGGGCAGGCAGTGGTGAAACAGTGAACCGCTGCTCTCACGGAGCGGGAGTAAAATTATAGATTGCTTAGATTTTCTAAAGAAGAGGATTTGTTACCAGCAAGTATACTGCATCTAAAGAATCGTTTCAAAGATTTATATTTGTGTTTGGGTATTCATTGTAGCAACCTACAAATAAGCATCATTAATCAATAATTGTACTCCTAGATTGCAAATACAGGTCATAAATTGAGTTGAAATCTATCGATATCACATACAAAAGAGGATTAAGATACTGAGGGGACTTAATCAATATAATCACAATAAATTACTGAAAAACCGGTTGAAGTCATTACCAACACTTTAGTACATGAATCATACTGTCCCGTTTTAGTTTGGCGTTTGTGGTCCATTTTTTTCAGATTTTTAATGTCGACAATCTATAACATATTAATCTTCACATGAGATGATGAATCTGAACAATATAAAGGTTAATAATTTACTTTACTTTACTGTGGTTATGTGCAATTGTATGGTATAGTTATTTTTCCCAAATAGTGACTAGATAAATTACGTTTCATTTATAGTTGAAGATAACTTTAAATGAATTCACTATTAGTGGAAGATCACATATTGTATACTTGAATATGCATGTCTACTTTGAGGCAATAGAAGTTTCCGGATACTCAAATTTCATAAATCCATTAGGAATATACAAAACAACAAATCTCACATCTATAAGCATTCGATCTAGCCATGCAATCACCCACTAAATGATTCGTTTTTGTGCACAATGATAACAGCTGTTTGTTTCCTATACAGTTTAAATCCACAAAGCCTCGAGCTTCCTGGGTTGAAGAAATGACATTGGGAACAAGATCTTTGATGAAAAAAAGGGGGTTGGGATTATTGAATAATTGAAAACTGAGTTATTTAAAGACTGCTTCGTGCATGCATTATTTCAGTAATATTTTGATTTTTTTTATGGGTCCATCCTGTTATCGTATTTAAGACAAATTTGAACACAATCCGAATTAGTTTTAAAATAGTCTACAGAAAACATTAACTACCACATTTGTCAGCGAAATTCAGTTAACTTGATTAATGTTTATTACCTTTTAAAACCAAGTATTTCGCAAATTTTTTCTTCAACAAGATGTGTGTTGCACACTTGAACGTAGGAGTTGCTCATGTTAAACATAACAACAAAATCTTCTTTAAAACTGCTTATACTCCACATCTGCTCTGTAAAATATTTTTGATTACAAATAATTTTAATGTATCAATTCAATCAGAACTATTATGATGACGCTGATATTACCCATAAAGATAAAACGTCTTACCAGTTGTTATGGTACTTAATCTCCCCATTGCGAATTGATATGACGAAAAACTATGAATATACGTTTCCTTTCAATACAAAATGGAAAAATTTAGAAATTGTTTGAACTAATAATTTGTCAATATTATAACGAAAAGACAAAACAAAGAGGCAGATAAAATTTACCACATCGAACGCCGACGTCCTGCTCGTGAGTGCAGTCATGTTCACGCCAGTTTAAACGTGGACAATCTAGTATGTCCTTCTCTGATCCAATACATTCAACCTGGTCAAGAGCTATAGGCTTATTTCCATAACGGTAAGTTAATAGCATCTTCGCATTACTGGAAAACAAAGATTTACAGCACAAATAAAAGATGAAAAATCTTCATGCATTATGTTTGTATATCTGGAGTAGTACTTGAAATAATAATAAATAATACTGTCAGGTACTCTGGATTGTTGTTTATTTGCATTCTTTCATAATCTGATTATTGAATGGTGTTTGTATATTGGCAAAGCAAATGCTAAGTAAATGTGTAAGTTTATTGATTGATGAAATCATGCTTAGGGAGCTACCATTTGATTTTTATTAGGGGGGGGGGGGCTAGGATGAAATTTGAAACAAATAGGCAGGATAGGAGTTTTGAGTAAACAAAAAGGCAGGATGAGACACTTTGCAAAAAAAAAAAGGCAGGATGGCAATTTATGTAAAAAAAAGTCAGGATAAACTAAAAAATGCAAGACCGAATCGAGTGAAAAATAAAAAGGTAGGACAGAGATTACAACTAAAAAAAAATACAGGACAAAATTTTTCATCCTAGCCTAAATTTCAATTTTTAAAAGACAAATATACCTCCCAGTAGGAACTACCTAACACAATTTTGACGCTGATTACCGTCTATACTTATGACCTGTAAACTTTTTTCTAAACTGGGTGTATGAATCAATTCAATGTAGAAAATAGTCCAAAAAAGTCTTAGTACATGCAACGAAAGAATTACTATGAAGTCGGTAGAAAGTGTCAACGGAAATTACTTTCAATTTTCCTTTTTATGTACTAACATTCAAGCATCGCCAGGGTATGGAATATTTTTTTCCCCAAGTAAAAAGTTATCCTAAGTCATTATTTCCCTATCAGAATGTAAATTGTGATGTTTGCAGTGTACAAAAAACTACTGAATTCAGAAGTATTATTTACAAAATCTGAAGTAGTCTCTTCGAAAGTTAAAAACTTATTGCCGTGGTGTAGCCAAGCGTGCTGAAAGTGACGTTAAACACAAAACAATCCATCAATCAACATGACTGGATGACAGTTACGTAAAGTCTTTGTCACAGATGACCAAGAATATGTCATATCAAGCATATGTTCAGAAACTAATCGATACAGACACGTTACACCTCTGATTATGACGACAGGTAACCTTTTTGTTATGGGCTGTCTCAAAAAGATCGCAGGTAGTTACATCAATCTTATCTATTATAAAACATTTATCTATTTCAATTATTTGTCCTGCTATTACTTTCTGTTCAGTCGAATAGAAATGCCCAATGCTCAAAATATTCTTTTTGAAATATTCAGGAAAATAGGATACTTAAAAAGAAAAACAAAAATAGGAACGTGCAAAGGATTTTATACGACAGACGGGTAGGGACATTATGTTGTTGAAAATAACATTTCAAACTTGATATTTCTTATTTCCAACTTGACATTTCTCAGTTCCAAGTTGACATTACCCCATTGTCATCTTGACATTTCTCCCCTCCAACTTGACCCTTTTTGATATTTACACAGAAACAGAAAGGAAAAAGAGAGAGGAGAAAACGAAGAGTTACCGTACTTTGAAAAATAAGTATCATATTGGAAATCAACCACTTCACAATTTCAAAGCCCATGAATTTTGATAGACAAAAAGTATCAATCTAAAAATTATCGCATTTACTGAAAGCTAGATAAATATTCCACTTGAAAATAATTAGAACATGTTTCCCAGACATCAATATCAATCTATCCACCTCTAATGGATTTAGTATAAGAACATTAAAAGCAGTCTTAGAAACTCACGATCTTATGTACTGCAAAAAGTGCAAAATAGTCTAAATCATTGTATTTCAATTAACTATTGATAATAGAACGCAAATGAGAGTAGGTAATATTATTTTGTAATAATTTCAACTTCAACATGAAATTCAAATTTCATTTTAAAACGTTTGCCAAACAATAAAAGATATTGCAAAGATTTGAGTGAATAGAATATCAAATGCACTCAAAAGTTCGTCCAATGGTCGAATGTAATATTCTTTTCTATTCTGTCAACATTCACCAATGTTATAAAAATAAGGAGATCAACAAAGTTCAAATGAAGTGGATGTAAGCAATTATAGGCAACCGTACGGTCTTAGTTCAATAACCAACTCTCATTCGCAGTTACTTTCAAGTCCTTTTGAGTATTTTTCGGTAAAACCAATAGTTGTAAATTAACACTGCATTTATATCCTGAGAAAAATTGATTATACAAGAACTAATCACAGTTCATATAAGTGGAGAACATGTTGACCAAAAAGAGTCTAGTATATGTTTAATGAGGAGAAATTCACATTGCTCGATAGAATATATGACAATCAGCTATATGTGACCCGCCATTACATTTCCAGGCTTATGGCGGTAAACGTCATAATGAGAAAACGTCGATGTAAAGTCACGTAACGAAATCGGGGCACCTGTTATTGAATGTCTAATTGTATCATGCGGTAACAAAATTTCCTTTTTTAGTGACTTGAGAAAATTTTAATTTTATATCAAGATATACAAAACAAGTAGATCTTTTACAAAAACATAATAATCTAAGTAAAAGTCCGATCTATAATCGCGTTCTAAATTAACACAATTTATCTTTTAGATTTAATTGCGTAAATCACTTTCTCCTGAATCATGTTTTCGATTATACAAAATGGTTTAAATTATATCACCATTCCTGGATATTATTTAGAAAAATTAAGTACCGAAAAATTATAACTTTCCCGAATCAGATTGCAGCATGAACACTAAGTTTTTGGATTAATTCTCATTGTTTCACATTATAAGGGAAAATATGAATGAACATATGTATGGACATATACCGGTACATGTAAATCAAGCAAGATATACCTGCCAATTAGGACCCTAATAGTGTCTAACCCCATGTTTATTCCTAGTTTTTTAATTTTATCTGTGACTGTCTAAGAACTACATAAACAACATGTATGTGTTGTTTAAAGTTTTCTTACATCCCGTTCACCTACATGTCCTAATATTGTTGATCATGCTGTTTGATTTTTCAACTTACTCTGCATTAACAGATCTTTTATTTGATCACTTTGTCAGGATACATATACAAAATGTATTCACCAATAAGACAATAGATGATAATAAGAAAACATATTAAATAATACAAAGCTCCTTGATGGGTTATTATATATCTTGTTATTCACTTTCTTAGCATTGATGTAGTTTTCCTTACGAAAGAAAGTTTCAAGTTATTATTACTTTGATTGCAGATTCCAGTACATTGTTGCTATGACAACCGAATTAAAATTCTTCGGTTATTTAGTTATCAAAGCTACAATAACATTTTGATTACTGAAATAAAGACCTTAATCCCACCCCCCCGAAAAAAAATACAACAAAAATACAACAAACAGATGAACATACATGTAACAAATTGAAAAATAAATCAAAATTTTTGATTAAATCAAAACTAACAAAAATGACCATAATTCTGTTATTTTGAAGAATCTAGCAAAACAATTTGCTGGGGTGTTTTGAATGTATGTATACTTCATAAAAATGCAAAAAAAACTCATTTTGACCCTGGTACTTCCATTAGCCTGAAAATATCATGTCTGGTCACATATATGGACATTGGGAATTATTGGAACAAGCGAATTTATTTTGCATCCCGGTTATTATTAAAAAAGGAATAAATTTTCCAGACGGTTTTTACATATATTTTATATCTGGTTTGTAAGAGGCAGTTTTGCTATGATTAACTGCTGCTCTCGAAAATATTTAAACATCAAAAATGTTTCACTTAGACAACGAACTGCACAGAATTAATCAAATTATGTTTCAAATATATATAAGAATACAATAGAGATAATATTTATATTTACCTTTCAAACCCCAACATTCGACAAACCACTCTAGCTGACAAATCTGAGAACTCATCATCGCAGACATTGCCCCATTCGTGTTGGTTATACACCTCCAAGCGTCCATCAATGATATCAACGCCATTTTCGTGAAGGGATCTCCCATCCACAAGCCTAACTTTTGATGCATCTGTAAATCATAATTTTTTTAATTAAGCGATAGAAACATCTTGCTTTTTTCATGGAAATTGGAAGAACATGTATTTTAAATTCGATCGTAATTGATCAAAATTATAAAGGGAAACTATTTGAAAAAAAAGTTTTCGCTTGTAAATATCTTATTTCAAGTGAAGTTACGAACCATTTATATCAGCAAAAAGTAAAGATTTATGTTTACTTATATGGAATTGTAAAATAAAAGGCTGGCTTTGAATGAATTATTCGGGTTTTTCTTTTTACTATGTGGGTGGGGGAATGGGGATTGAGAGATCTTTGATGGTTCAATGCCATTTGATCAGGTTCTTTAATAAGACCACATCAACTAGTCGACGGTACCCCATATTATTAATTCTCTGTCTGTCTGTCTGTCACATTTATAACGTATGATGAGTCAAAATTACATCATCTAATTTCAATTATTTATAGGCACAGTGTTTATATATATTAAATTAAGGAGATGTGGTATGATTGACAATGAGACAACTATCGACTTGATTTCAAATAAGTGGATATAAGTAAGTATAGGTCACCGTACGATCTTTAACAATGACAAAGAGAAAAAGCCACACCGTATCCTGATTCGGGACTGGCAAAGAATATGACTGGGTTAAGCATGTGTGTGACGTTTCATTTTTAGCCATTGCGTTGTAAGTTTATTTTCGACTTACACGTCTGTCATAATTTAACACCTCACATATAAGATATTTAATGTAATTAAACCATTGCCGTGACGTCAGCCTATTCTTTCACCGTGGATTATTTTCCTAAAATCAACCATTTCTTAATCTGTTGCTGAAATGAACACACTAAATTATATTCAATTGTTTCCTTTGTGTGCTTAATTTTATTAAGTTTGAATTAGCTAATTTACTGATTTCTGTTCACTTAAACACTTACTTTTTTTTTAATTTTCATTTGCTTCCTCTGGGAATCCAACCTACTCCTTGAAGTCTTTAATCTTTGACTGATGTAAAACACATCGAAGATACCTCTAGGCTACCAATGGGTTGTAATTAAGATGTTTTAATTTATATATATATCCAGGTATCACTACATTAATCTTAAGATATGATACACACAGGACTTGCACCTTTATGTACATATGTAAAAGAGAAGCGAAATTGAATTATTTAGTGAGAGAACATCATCTATATAGCGTAAAGTAAAGTAAAAGGAAGTTCCTGATTGAAGTCAGCCTCATATGAATTAAGGAACAAGTCGGCAAGATGAGGGGCACAGTTTTTTCCCATGGGAATGCCGATTATTTTTTGAAAAATACGTCCTCCAAACGTAACAAATATGTTGTCAATCAAGAAATCAAGCATCTTGATAATGTCAGTTTCGGAGAATTTTTTGTTGGAATCAGATTGATTTTTTACAAAGTAGGAATTATCCCTCCCTAAGACAAAATATTTGTATCTACGTTGGCCATTCTTTTTTATGAAACAAAGCAGGACCAACTCTTTCAATTTGTCTTTTAGTTTGAAATTGGGAATACTTGTGTAAAGTATAAAAAAGTCAAATGTTCTAATACTATTGCAAGATGAAAGAGTCTTAGATTGTATGTTCTCTAAAAGATCTTTGGATTTTTTTAGAATCCACATCTGATTCACGCCACTTCTATGCAGTTTCGCAATAACTTTGAAGCCCAGCTTTGATTACTGATAAATATGATGCAAAAGATGACCTATTGTATAAGTTGGTTGCCGCGAGGTTAAGATGAAGGAATTGTAAGGTCAAGAAGAGGCGAACGATACCAAAGGGACATTCAAGTTCAGAAGTTGAAAATAAACTAAAAACGTCATGGCTAAAAACAGACAAACAGACAAACAACAGTGCACAAAACATAACACAGAAAACTGAAGACTGAGAAACACGAACCCCACCAATAACGGGGGTGTTCATGAGTGCTCAAGAAGGGTAAGCCGATCGTGTACCACATCTGGCACTCGTCGTGTTGCTCATATAAGTGCAAACCCGGTGACAAGTCTAATTCGGTAGTTTACATTCGGAGAAAAGGGGAATGGATTGTAGTCACGACAATTGGAACAGAAACCAAATCGTGATGGCGTCCGTAAAATTTTCGAAGGGATGATTTCAACTTCACCACTTTGAACTCTTGGTTTAATAGCTTCCTTGTATGCAGCAACCCTATATCATGATAGAAAAAAAACAAGCCATGAAATATCGTATCAACTGGGAGATATATATATATTGTATGCAGGCGCTGCTGGAATGTTGCTACATAGAAATGGAAAGGTCGCCATTGGGAAATTGAGATCATCTCTTTTGTCGTAAAGTTTTGTATTAAACCGACCCTCATTCAAAGTAAGAAGTAGAGATTTGTCAGATAGGATCGAATCTCTGTTTTCTCTTTGTTGTTCTTTTTTTTATTTGGTGTGTTAATGTTGAAATATTTTGCAATTATAACGGATTTCCCCGTTTATTTTTTGTTTATTGTTGGCTAAATGAAGAATACAAAAAGAAAATGATAGTAATCAGTTTGTTAATTTTTTATGAATATAGGGTGATTTCATCTATTTCAATACACCAAAAATTCGTTTATGTATCATATATTTTGTTAATAAAAGATAATATTCAGACTAGTGATAAGTAAATGAAATATTTTCAGTAGAATATACTGAAAGTGCATACGATTTTGTTTCAAATATCATTTCATGACTAAAATCTACTACCTATATACTTCTAATTATTTATTGATTTTTTTATCATTCAAGATAATTAGGTGATTATTTGAACTCAATGATAATATTGCATTTAATTATTAAAAGAACTGAATTTAGAAAAGACGTTTCAACAATTGTTTGAATAAAAGACACAATGGATAAACGCTTATCCATTGTATACATTGGCTAGAGGTATAGGGGGAGGGTTGAGATCTCATAAACATGTTTAACCCCGCCGCATTTTTGCGCCTGTCCCAAGTCAGGAGCCTCTAGCCTTTGTTAGTCTTGTTTTATTTTTAATTTTAGTTTCTTGTGTACAATTTGGAGTTCAGTATGGCGTTCATTATCACTGAACTAGTATATATATTTGTTTAGGAGCCAGCTGAAGGACGCCTCCGGGTGCGGGAATTTCTCGCTGCATTGAAGAACTGTTGGTGACCTTCTGCTGTTGTCTGTTCTATGGTCGGGTTGTTGCCTCTTTGACACATTCCCCATTTCCATTCTCAATTTTACATTTATGAAAAACGGATACAAATCGTATGGTTGTGCCCAAAAATGTTGCATAGCCAGAATCGTGGACAGGCAAAACCATTTTAAAACATTGAATGATATAATCAACCACTATTTCGACCAACAGAAAGTACAATATCAGCATTTAAAAAACTTTGCAGGGTTTAATGTTTTCATTTTGGCTTATTGATGAATGTGATTTATAATGAATATGTTATATTTTGCAATCAAAACTATTTTGAAACATTATAATTTAATGTATTTTTTTCAATATGGATCTTTGATTTATACCATTCAATTTTATTGTTGGCGCAAATGAAATATATAATTTTGGTGCAAATGAAAAAAAAAATGGTTTGCGGCGCAAATGAAAGATTTTATTGGCGCAAATAAAATGCTAATTGGCGCAAAAGCACAGTAACAATTTGCATCATGTGAAAATTGAGAAAAGATGTGTATCCCACTTAACCCTTGGATTTTTCATCAACCTACTTTCACTATTGAATGAACTTAAATATCAAATAAGTTAAGTCTGAAATACACTTCTGAGGACCGCATAACTTTTTTAATAGTATGTTTTTTAGTTCATACCTTTCCTGTAGTAAGCAAAATAGCTCGTTTTCAATACAGATATTTTTTTTTGAATTACACTACTATTTCACCAGTAACAGGATCATATCGCATGCACATAAATTGACCATATTCGACTTAGACTTCCTTTTTCATGTGTGTCATACTTATTTCTAAGTCCTTTAAAGTCTACGGCTCATAATAACAGGACACTAGCAATACTGTAAATTCAGAAATAATTGCGATGTTTTTATTATTGCGAAAAATGCGACAGGGTTATAATCGCATTAATTTAAACTCGCATTTTGATATTTTTTATATGAATTAAACAGGATTTTTCTCAATATCGCAAAAATTAAAATTGCATTTTAGTCTAAAATGACAAAATCGCAATAATAAATGCATGCAATAATTTCTGAGTTTACAGTAGTTTAGAATGGAAAAAAAAGATAATCAGCATTTTCATCACTTATCGTGAATAATGCGCATATTTGCACACAATCATGACGTTATAACATTGTAAATCTCGTCTGATTCATTTGGATTTCTTGATTTTAGAATTTTTTCATATCATGAGATTGTTTTGAATTGTTCTTAAAAACTTAATTTTCCTGGGCCATAATAGACTTTAATGCTACTCCTTCGCATTGATTACTGACACGTTTAACAGATACTTTACTAAATTCGTATATAAAACATTTAAATCATAACATTACCTGTTAATAGTCTGGTAAAACAATAACAGAGAATATATAATAAAATCCAGCCCATCTTTCTTGCACCGACGTCTGAAAATGTACTTCAGCTACAAGTTTAAATAAGATCATATTCGAAAACTTTCTGTCGTAAAAATAGCTGAATGATTCTTATCAATTAAGTGGTCTAATATGTTATCCCATTAAAGCAATTAAAAACGAAGTATTCACATGACATGCGTATCAAGTGTATTGAATGCAGTATCACTGACCTTTAAAACCAACAAACAAATACGAAGATGATTCAAGAAAATTCCATAATTATTTTCTTAAAAATACAGAAAGATTATATCAAGACTGAACAAAAGTTTCTTATTATTAATTTGATTATACAAAAAACTCGGCAACTCTCGGAACCGTGAATAGAGAGAATGGTTTGAGTCAAGGGGGGCATTTATGTGTACTCGCCAAGATACATGTAGGTGGTCAGTCTGA